CCCTGACCTCCCCTTCCTGGTCCAGCTTGGCCAACCCCAAGGATAAGATAACCCGTCTGCGCCGTGCCCGTGGCCCCATACCGGCCATTGCCGATGTGAAGGGGTGGGGGTGATTGCTGCTCCGACACGGCCACTGAAAGTGGTGGCGTGGATGATACCGCTGCACCTAACGTGCCTCTCACTCCGCGCCGTGCTAACGAATGCCGTGTTCCTCTTGTGTCCGCAGCGCTCGCCCTGTGCGACTGGTCCGAGCTGCAGAAAACGCGGCGGCAGGTGGCGCGCCTCTACTGCTCGCCCCGCTTCTCCTCCCTGCACTACGACACCCTGACGCACGTCGCCGGCTCCGAGGTGGACCACTTCCTGGACCGGCTCGGCTCCATGACGGCTTCCGCGGCCAAGGCCGGCGCGCCCGTCTCCGTCAACATCAAGCCCCTGATCCAGGCCGCCTGCGCCAACATCTTCGCCGGCTACATGTGCAGCACGCGCTTCAGCTACGACGACGCCGACTTCGTCAACATCGTGCGCCTGTTCGACGAGATCTTCTGGGAGATCAACCAGGGCTACGCCGTCGACTTCCTGCCCTGGCTCGCACCCGCCTACCGCCAGCACATGGGCAGGCTCGCCAAGTGGGCGCTCGACATCCGCACCTTCATTCTGACCCGCATCATCGACGAGCACCGCCGGCGCCTCGTCGAGGGCGAGGACGTCGAGCTGGACCAGTGCATGGCCCGGGACTTCACCGACGCGCTCCTCATCCAGCTGCAGGAGGACCCCCACCTCGAGTGGCAGCACATCATCTTTGAGCTCGAGGACTTCCTGGGCGGCCACTCCGCCGTCGGCAACCTCACCATGCTCAGCCTGGCCGCTGTGGTGAGTGTCTTTACCTGGACCGCCGCCCTCTGCTGCGCGTCCCCAAGTCCGCCGTGCTGACCTTGTCTTTTCTCCACAGGCTGCCCGCCCCGAGGTATCCGCGCGCATCCAGGCCGAGGTGGAGACGGTGACCGGCGGCTCGCGCGCCGTGTCCCTGGCCGATCGCCCCAACATGCCCTACACCGAGGCTACCATCCTCGAGGCCCTTCGGGTCGCCTCGTCGCCCATCGTGCCCCACGTCGCCACCCAGGACACCACCATCGCCGGTAAGTTCGAGTTGCTGTTGCTATGCGCGTGTGGGGGATAGGGGAAAGAGGGGGGGGGGGAGCTCAGCAGTGCAGGTGCGTTTTATGACGGTTTGTGAGGGACCACGATGCAGAGAGGTTTTCTACGCCGTAGAGGGACCTTGAGTGCGCCTGTCACTCTCGACCCTCCGCCGCCCCGCCCGCCCTCGTGCGTTCAAATCCTACAGCGCGGCCGCCACGCCCGTACCACCGCCCTGCTTAACATGCACCACGCACCGCAG